TCCCATTCCACACAAAAAATATTTAATTTTTTTCTTTTATTTACAAGTTCTTTACAGCAGAAAATTATTTAATTTTAACGTAATTTTAACCATATTACCGCAACCAACATTACATCAATAGTTTACGTACTTTTAAATAGAAGGTCGACCTAAAAATTTCAAATTTATGTCGAATAACTAACGAGTCAAAACCAACAACTTTGTCATATTTTTATGCAGCAAACGAATTGCGAGTCAAAATATATTAATTTTTTGTGTCGGCATTTTAATGCAGATTGTTTTGATCGAACCTCAAAACTAAGAATAAGACTTCTACCAACAGCTGTTCCAAGAATAAAAGTGGACCGGTTAAAGTAAATAAATTCTTTACTAACTATATCATGTACCGGTTTTTTCGTGTATGAATGTGAGGCATTCCATATAATTTATTACAAAGTTATTAACAGAAACGAACACAAATAGAATTAATGATATCTTAGGTAAGGAAATAAGTAGCATATCGCATGCCTCAAGATACTGTCTTAGGTCCTATGTTTAATTTTATTTTAAATAATTTGTAATTTAAATACAGATGGAAATATTGTAAGTTTTTCAGACGACCAGTTATCCTGTAAAATGATTAAAATTATTAATATTAATAGCCGAATGGTTTAATTATAAAAACTTTTATAAAACTTATGTTGTTTCATTATGCAGTTACAAAAAGATGCCCTCTTCCTTTAGAAACATAATACGTTCAGTATTTTCATATGTATTACAAATTATATCAAATACCTTGGAGTACAAATTAACTCTCATATTAACTCATATTAACTAGAATAAATAATACGTTGCCTTTTACCAAAATTTAAATTCCTACGATCATATTTGAATGTACATTGAATGTACATCGTTATTACGGTATATGATCCTTTCATGGAAAGATGTTTCACCTGCTTATACAAAATTAAAGTCCTGCAAAAAATATTACTAATAATATTATGTAATAAAATGATCAGATATTCTCTTAGATATTAGGAAGTTTTATATTATATGTACCTACTCCAACAAAAACATCTAAGAAAGAAATATCACAGCAGTGTGTGACTTAAATATAAGTATAGGATATTTAATTTAACGCATATCTACAAAACATATTTATTTTTCAAACCTTAATAATTTGTAAAATGTAAATTATTAAAAATATTGTCATAATAAAGACGTAAAAAGTCATTTTTTTAAATACATTATTGCTTTGATTTTTCAAATGAAATCCCTCTATAATTTATTCCAAAAATATTTTCCTATATTTATCCCACCCAACATACAATTTTAAAGAAAAATTTATTCACATTATGAAGGTTAATAAAAATAAATGCAAACTTCTCGCAAGAAAACAGCTATTCATTAAAATGAGAGAAATTGGTAAATTCAGATAATGGGGTCTATTCTGTAACAATTCCTTTATATTTAACGGCCTTTAAAAATATTTTCTTCTTTACTTCTGTCATTATTTAAACGGATCTTTAAAATACATTAGAGGACTATCTTAAAGAAATCTGTTTAAATAATGACAGAAGTAAATTAACGAATACGAAAATGTTTTTAAAGGCCGCCAATATTTTTAAAGGCCGTTAAATATAAAGGAATTGTTATAGAATAGACCCCAATATGTAAATAAGAATTTATTATTCTCTTTTCTACGCCCCTTTATGACAGTACGTCTCTGGTAGACCGGAAACACTTCTCGCCATATTCCTCTAGTTCACTGTCAAAATTAGATAATTATCGCGATTCCAAGGTCGTTTAGCAGAAATAAGTGAAAATTCTGTTTGCTTACCTTTTCCTTTTACGGTTTTCCATTTCCTGTAGGCTTTCACACCTGATACCATTCATTTGACCCCTTTTAAGTACATTTTTCTTATTTTATTGAACATATTATATTTCTTTTTTTACATATCCACAAATACGATGTTCTGACCATGAAGGAAGGATCTGACTTACAAATTTAAATTTCAATAAATTGAAATAGGAAATTAAAAATTATAAACATTTATAAATGAGGTTATGACACTTTCACTTTGACAGTAGGGTCGCATCGCTGACAGTGTTGCCAGAATATATTTTTGTTATGTACCAGATTTGTCTGAGAAATGTACTAGATTCCAATAAAAATATACCAGATTCTATGAATTGTACCCCATTTCTCGAATTGTGATGGTTTGGTTCATTGAAGAGCAAAAAAAGGCTTTTATCGAAAACGAACACGAACAAGGAACCCAACAATATATTTATATTTTTTTCCGCCCAAATCGAGGCTCAAAAAAGAAAAAGTACTAGATTTTGTCTCGGGTGTACTAGAGTACTAAATTCTTAAATAATGTACTAGATCTAGTACAATTGTACTAGACAGGCAACACTGGTCGCTGAATCAGTATCTGTTATTTTTGAAACAGGTTTTCACTTGGAACATGGTTATGCATCAGATCACGAAACAGTTGTTTCGGTGGACGGAGATTCAATTTATTTTAACTTGCTGTTAAAGTCGCAGATTGCGTGGGACTAAAAACAACCTATTATTAAGCATGGCATTATTAATATTAATTACTGTTACCACAGGGTGCTGTTACTGTGGCAGTTGCCTGTTGCGTATGACAGTTACAGACTAGCCAGCAGTAATATTGGAACAGCTTCATATTATAGAATCTGTGATCTGTGTTAATTTTCTGAAATAAAACCAAAATAAAAAAATAGGGTTATATGAGACATACTTATTTGTTCATTCAATAGTATTTTTAGTTTAGTTTTTTCAGCAAATAAAAACACATTTGCATTTTTGCGACTGTGACAGGTAGCATTGAAAGAGTTAAAAGGTTAAAAAAGGTCTTTTCCTTTGCATCGAAAGTGTAGCACTGAGCTACACCACTTCTGAAAATATCGTTCCATTTATACAAATTGTATAACCCAAACATACTGCGATGGATGTACCTATACTGCAATAGTGAGACCAATCATCACTTACGGGGCTATAGCCTGGAGTAACAGAACTAGTTTAGTTACTACGAGAGCTAATATCTCAAAAGTACAAAGACTAGCCTGTGTTTGCATTACTGGTGCAATGAGAACCTGTCCTACGGCCGCAATGGAGGTGATCTTAAACCTCACCCCTCTACATTTGATGATAGAGAATGTGGCAAAAAGGACACGATATAGAATGATCAGGAGCGGAGTAATCAGACGAAAGTCTACTTGCTTCAGGACTAAAGATACCTGGGACATGCCCCAGGATGAAATGCAAAAGAAGTACCGATTTGTGAAAAACTTCAAAACCACAGAGCTGGGCTGCAAGAAAGAATGGAGCCAAGAATCCATCGCGCTTGCAACCGAAAGACGTGCTATTCAGTGGTACACGGACGGTTCCAAAACCATAGAAGGAACTGGAATAGGAGTGTATGGGCCGAGAACCAAGCACTCCGAAAGCTTGGGAAAATACCCAAACATCTTCCAGGAGGAAATTCACGCCATCGAGAAGTGTATCCAGTTTAACATCGAGAGAAACTATCATAGACAAGAGATTATCATCATGTCCGATAGTCAAGCAGCCATCAAAGCGCTGAGTTCTTACGTAATCAGCTCAAAAATGGTATGGAGATGCCTAGAACAATTGAATGAGCTAGGCGAGAAAAATAGAGTTACTCTCACTTGGGTCCCGGGACATAACGGGGTACAGGGTAACGAGATTGCAGATAATCTTGCAAGGAAAGGGGCTCAAACACCCTTTGTAGGACCTGAGCCGTTCTGCGGTATCAGCAGTAACATAATATTAGAAGAGATTAAAAAAGAATTGGGTAGTAGAAGAACCGATAATTGGAACAATCTCTTGGGGCTGAGACAGGCCAAGATACTTCTGGGTGAATATAACCAAAAAAGATCGGAAGCCTGCATCTGCCTGAGCAAGAACAGGCTACGTATTGTAACAGGGATCCTTACCGGGCACTGCCGACTAAAAGGACACCTAAGTAAACTGAGAGTAGTAGAGGATAGTGAGTGCAGATTCTGTGAGGAGGAGGACGAAACCTCCATTCACATCCTAACTGAATGTGTAGCACTCCAGAATCCAAGGGCACTATATCTAGGAGGATATCAAATAGAAGAGAGAGACTTACCTAACTTGAAGCCACTTCAAATCCTACACTTCCTTGAGAAAATAGGATTGGAAGGGTCGCTATAAGCATTGAGACAACCTTAGTGCAGTGGCGACAGAAGGGGGCACAATAGATCTTTTAGGTCGCAGTTTATTAACACCCCATTATCAACATAACATAGGGAATTCAATGTGTAAGAGTTAGAGGTACAGTCTTTAATACCTTTAGATGCTAATTCTGAAGTTTCTGTGGCTGATAAGCAACAATGTTTTCCTCGGGAATGTAACCAATCTTGTTTGAATACTCTTCTATCGTAATGAGAATGAGGTGTACCTCTAAGACCATCTCCATCCCTTCTAAGCGGCTTTTGTCCATCAGCACAGGTGATGTATCCGAGGACACCAACAGCATGGTCCAAGCAAATTATTTTCTTGAAAGATCCTATCTGTCTAAGGGATCTCTCGCTCGAAGCATCGTGCCAAAATTCGACATTGCCTATTTTCTGTGGCTTTTCTAGCTACAAAATCGCTCGATATCTGGGAAATGTAAAAGTACTAACAATCTACTCCATGTATAGCGGACGTGACCACATTTGCAAATTTCCTCGATCTGGGGAAATTTTGAAAAATTAGGCTCAAGTGGTTTCTATTCTACTACTTTACCTATATATCTAAAATAAAACCAACAAATAAATAGAATATGAATAGAATCAATTTTTTGTTTAATAAAACTTCTTATTATTAACGGTAAAATTCTTTAATTTACAATATCGTATCGTAAAAATATGTATTTAACTTTACATTGCACAATTATTGCTGTTTTTTTGTTATTAATAAATAAATAATTTTCTTTTATACAACAATTTACAACAAAAGTAAGGTAAGAATTTAATACATGACTAAAATGTTTTGTATACTTATAAATTTTCTTTGGTTTTTGGTTTTCATTGTTAGGCGGAAAACGCTCGCACGTTTTCTACGAGTAGATGGTCATCAGGATCAACTGTAACAGAAAAACGATCAGCTTCACTGTCGAAACTATTCATTGTTTCAAATTTGTTATTGTTACTGTCTCCTAGAGATATGAATTGACGTTAGTTTGTTACTTGATAGTTCTTTTAATTTCTTTTGCTAAATAATCTTCACGAATACCACTTCTGATGTCAGTAGATTCAGCATATAAGTACTTGAAATTTACTCAACACAATATTTCACAAAAATTCGAATTTATTGACAGTACTTGTGATAGTTCTTCTGAATACCATAAAGCATAACCAGATTTAAATGCTGCTACAAACTACATCGGAACAGTATCCAATTTAAAGACTAGGTAAACTTCAAAATATTTTTTGACAGGTAGGGAGGTAAGTATATTATATATAGTGTGAATGAAAACTTACTTCTTCAAGAGATAATGGATTGGTTTTCATCTTTGTATCTAAGTTATGGTACCTTTCTGAAAAAAAAAAAGTTCTCTATAATTAATTAAAATATTTTTCCTATTTAAAATATAAGTAATTATCTATTTAAATAGGTAGGTGACATTATAACACATTGGAAAATGTTCTTTCAGATTAAATGAGGGAGAGCAGAACATAAAAATCAATAACAACGATAATGATAGCTTTTATACAGATTTGGCTTACATTTTTATTTGGGTATAGGGCAAAATTATAAAGAGCAACAGAAAGAAGACTTTTCATATGAAGCGAGTTATGTAAGAAATTTTGACTTATTGACATATAAAATCGTAAACTGTTAACCTTGCATTTATTATTCTCATGTAAAACACATTATTTAAATTCATTCCAACTTTGATTGTGATAGAGTCAACATCAAAAAAATTAAGTCCTTAATTATGAAAGAGTAATTTTTTGTTTTTTTTTTTTTAAATATTTTCGAGTTAAATAATTTTAACTAGCGTTAATAAGAGTGAAAATAAAAATAGGGCGTTGGCAATCCCACTATTCTTCGCGACTCCGACCGATCGCTCATTCGTTGACTACGACATGCGAACCAAACAAATTTTTTCACGGGGCCCGATCTGGAGAATTGTCCTGGGGCTCGACCTGGCTCTTGGCCGCCCTATTCCTACGGATAATGTAGTTCGTGCAATTATAGCAAAGTTTGATAATTTTAGCTGCGTTATAATGTTGTCCCTCTAGGCAACCCCGACGACATCAATTGACGGAAGATCGGGAAATTAGGGAAACATAAGTTTGTGCATTGGCCGACGCTACACCGTCTTCAAGAGTTCAAGTAGACAAATTGCCGCTGAAGTTAACTTGAAAGAGAGACAGATGCGAAAAATTAAAAAAAAAAAAAAACGAGAAAGGTACAGACCGCTTAAGAAATTTTTCTTGATGACCATTTTAAACGTATGGAGTTTTGTTTTGCCAGATAATGATGGAAAGCACAAATCAAAATATTAATTTTTGAAAACATAATTTATCCGTCTTACGCTATTGGTCGCAGAAGAATAAATACTTAAGTGAAAGTCTGGGAGGGAATCCTTGGGAATAATGTCATTGGTCCGTTCTCAGAAATACTTGAAAATTACAATATTTCTGCCGTCATAAACCTTCAGGTTAACTTCAATGACATTTGGTTCCAACAAGACGGATGTACACCCTTAATGCAAAGATTACTTATTGTTACGGTAAATTTTACCGTCCCCTCGTAACACAATCTTCAAAAATTTAATTTTGAATCTAAATATTCTAAATAACGAATTCGGACAGGTATGCGATCAATTTGACCGAACGAGTGGAAGAAACCTAAATTTTCTACCAAAATTGGTTCGAGATATCTTTCTTTTCTAAATGCCATCGAATTCACTGGGCCTAACAACAACAAGGCCCACCTAGGCAAAGATTTGAACACTTGAAAAAGAAACTCAAGATTTAGAGCACAAACCCATTCAAGTTTTTGGAAAACAAATTTAAGAACGAAAGGACCCCATTCTTCCTGTAGAAAGAACAACACCACCAGCTACAGAACAGCACCCCCATGGATCTCAAAAAAACGGCCTAACACCAGGCCCTGCTTGCTTCCAGAGAGACCACCCAGCCGACGTCGTGCAAGTTGAGAAGGGAAGTTTCGTAACATTTCTTTTACCTATCACCATAGAGTCATAGATTGTATCTTAGGATAAAGGAATAAAATACTATTTAATATTTTTATTATTTACCTATTGAACCACAATTGTTGGGCAAATTATCTAATTTTTCAGGTTCACAGAAGGCGCAGTTGGTTTTTTCTGTCACTAAAATACCTGGCGTCCTTGTTTCGTGTTGCCGTCCTTTTCGTACTAGTTACTAGTAGCAAAATTTCTCTGTGAATCCGAAGCAGTAAGAACCCACTTCCTTTGAGCTAGTTGCGAGCTTACAATTCAATTTGCTTTTTTGCTTTTTTTTTGTCAGTTAAAAATTAAAAATATTTCTTTGTTAAATTTCTTTTTCATAAAATTTCTATATATTTTCTTTTCTTTCCCCTTTTCTTTTCTTTAATTTTTAATATCAATTTATCTTCCACAAAAAAATCAATTTCCTTCTTTTTTATTATTTCGCTACACATTTTTTTGGCGCCCAACGTGGGGCATGAACAATTTTCCAATCGAATAACTGGTACCAGAGGTACTATAAAATGGGCATCACGGTCGCCAGATTTTTATTTTTAGAGAATGCTTAAAAGCAATTTATACAGATGAGTTCCAACGAGTAACCACCTTTGATGAATTATACAGTTCAATACTCAAATCATACCCAAGCAACTCAATGCTATGAGAATAGAATTGTATAAAAGGTATGGTTTTTGTTTAGCCCAAACTGGTGGTTTGTTCGAACCACTCTTGCATTATTTTTTTATTTCAAAAGAATGTTTTATTTCAAGTTATGTTTGAATTTTTAGTATTTATGTTTTTCGTTTTTTTTTGTTCTTTTTTTTTGTTGTTTTTTTTTGTTGTTTTTTTTTGTTGTTTTTTTTTTGTTGTTTTTTTTTTTTTTGACTGTTTTAGAAAAGGAATCAAATCAAATAAATTATCGTAACATGATCCTGCAACCGCTACATTTAGGTGTACGCTCCAATGCTTATTGTACATTACTGAACTGCTGGAAGAAACGACTCCCCACTAATCAAGTAATCACAAAGAGGGATATAATGCATGCTCGCTTTTAATGAAGCTCTCGCTGATTCTCTTGTCAAATCGCAATACCCAAGAAAAATTTGAGCCGACTCTGTATTGTGATCAGAAAAAGAAGATAGTTTTTCTATTTCTTTTTTTTTTTTTTATTTGAAAACTTCATAAAAAAATTGTTGGCAACTGATTAAACGTATGCATTTTTGGAAATGCAAAAAATGTAAATTCAAATTCCCCCTACGAAAATGAAAACTAACCAAAGAAAAAACGAAGAAGCTAAAAAAATAAATAGTGTGTACCGACGAGGGTTGTAATCTGATGATTTCAAATTTACAAATTAGTCTGATGCGGTTACCCAATTGGTCTATAACGAGGGCTATAACTGGAAAATCCAGGATCAATCCCTGACAGGGACCCTCATTTTTCTCTAATTTTACAGCTTCTTAAATTTTTCAATGGTTTGTTTTTACTTACTTTGGGGATGTGGGGATAGATTCAAAATGTCACGTGGTTTGGAACGTCTTTCTAAAGGTGGGTCCACATTGCTCCTGTTCGTGCTCACACTCGTGCTCGTGCTTATGCTGTTTCCGGAATGTTGCCTTTTGTGTTTCTTCTGTTTGTCAAGATCGTTTTATCCGCAAGCAGAAGTGTCCATATTGTAGTTCTGTGTTATTATTAATGTCGGTTGCCAGTGCGTTAATTATTATTATAAAACGGAGAGAACAGGAAAAAAAGTGACGAAAAGACGGTGTTGGATGTCAAATATTTTTAAAAGCAGATCCAAATACAGTGGAAGTAATATTCTCCATGATTTGCAAACAGATGGGATGATTTTTAATAATTTTTGTCATATGAGTAGTACCGATTTTGAAACAATAATTAATTTAGTTGGTCCACATATACAAAGAAAGGATGGCACTATTTTTTTTATTAGTTAGGTTAAAAAATTTATGTTTGGATCCCACAAAATAGGATAACTTTCGTAAAGCCCAATTAGCTTCAAAATGTTTTCTTTAACCCACTCCATATTGCACTGCGCCTTACTGGTACGCTCGTACTTGACTGATCTTGAACGCGACCAGTAAAAACAAAAAAAAATCACCAAACCGCGGTAAACTGTGCTCGCGCGCGCAATATGTATCCCTTTGATGTACCGCTACCCGACCGAACAGTCCAAACAGGTGTTTTGGGTGATTGCAAGCACGAGGAACGCTGCAAACAGCCCAAACACAACGAATATGATTTTTGTTTCATTCGTGCTGTTTGCTCCGTTTGTTGCGCTTGTTGTGTTCGTTCGCACTGATCGCGAGCACTGTGGACCCATCTTAATAAACAGCTTAACACTTTTTATTCCTACATCAACCCTTAAATGATTTTCATATCTATTTTGTAATCTCTTACCATGAGAAAGATGCAACCGTACCAGCGCCATTATGTAATTTTCCGCAGACAAGATTCTATTTTTGGTAAATCGTAAAATTAAACATTCCAAAACTTTATTGCTAACAGTACAGCCGGCTTCCCAAAGCAAAGCCCTCAAGTGGTAACTGGAAGTTTTGCCGCAATTGTGACTCCTTTCGAATTTTTGAAAAGCCAACTGAAAATAAAAAAAAAAATATTATAAATTGAACAATCGGTTTCAAAACAAAAATATTTTAACAGAGGCTTCACAAACGAACCTAACAGATTGTTACTTGCACTATGATTAAATTAGGCCATTTTATACATAGTGAAAATATAGTTAGACTTTGACTTTAATCAATAAACAATCAACACAAATTCCAAGTTTTAAAGGATAGGTTTCTGATATTCTACAAGTTTTGTGAAACGTTTCAACTACCAACAATGTTATAGATAATTTTCAGACACAAAAAGTAAAATCACGTTTAAGGAAGACCATTTTTCTCATTTGCAAATGATTTTTAACTGCATTCTTAGTTGGAATTGCAATAACGATATGTGCTTACCCTCCAGTACTGCAACATTTGCATCAGCGTTGGGATATCCATCAAATTGATTTTCCCGCTAATATTGAAATCTCTTAGCATAATTAAACTCTTGCACAACTCCAAGCTCGGTTTCTCTGATAAATATAGTCTCCAGTGAGCCCTTAGGATTTTTTGTAGCTGACTAGCATCGATTTCCGGGGGATATTTTATCAGTAATTTGGTAAGGCTCGATTTACCATCTCCCTGAAATAAAACAAAGTCATTTTGAAAAGAATTTTAGAAATAGTAAAACTTGAAGTTCGGTCGTTTTACTATTTATTTAGATATACACAACAGAGTTATTTATGCGACAAGAGTCAAAAATGGGACGTTACACACGAGTTGCATACAATATTTTTTTCTATTACCGTACACATTATCCACTAATATTATAAATATAAAAGTAACTTTTTTTCACTAAAATTACTTTTTTCACTTTACGCACTAGTGCAAAAAAGTACAACTTTACGCACGGTAGTGGAAAAATTATTTTATGGGATCTTAAAAACATTTAAAAATAGAAAACACAAGCAATAGTGTACATATCAACGATAAATGAAAATTTTTAGTTACAATATAAAATAATTAAAAATCACTTACCGAAGAAGGTGAGTTCGACTCGTCCATAAATTCTGAAGCTATATTTCTGATAATCATATTATCTTCGTTAACTTCCCTAAAATATGACTATTAATATCATTTTTATTCATACTTAAAATATAAAAAACTTACCATATATTACTCTGTTCGTCAGTGAATATCCTTAGTAAAAACTTCCCATCTAAATTTGGAATATTTGTTTGTGGTACGACGATGTAATCTCCGGGGGGTAGGGTGAAAAAAGTGACTACTTCTCTTGCTATGGAGTGATTGGTTACATCTAAGGGTTTCTGCAAAGTTAGAATAGTAATAAAATAAGCCAATGTTACAAATGTTACCAATGATACAAATGATACAAATGATACAAATGATACAAATGATACAAATGATACAAATGATACAAATGATACAAATGATACAAATGATACAAATGATACAAATGGTAAAAATGTTACAAATGATACAAATGGTAAAAATGTTACAAATCATACAAATGGTAAAAATGTTACAAGTGTTACAAATGTTAAAAAAAAATTGTTACCTGTTCAGTGACAAAATGCGGGGTCAGTCTTTGCATGGAATGAGGTACCTCGTATACAGCGAATCCAATGGCGTAGAGGGGTCGCTTTTTCTTACAATCTATCATATTCGTTTCGTAATACTGAGTTATCGACACCACCACGTGGCATTTGTTCGTCGATGTCCTAGGAATTTGGACGTGAAATTGCGGATTCATTGATGTTGTTTCTGAACAAATTTATTTGATTACTGAGATTGGAAAAATAAAAATATTTAAAAAAAAAAAAAATTAATATCTATCACTCGATTTGTAGGTACCTAATAATAAAATTTTGGAAAATAGTAATATACTGGGTGGTCAGTATATAACTGAATAATTTAAATAACGCACTAGATTTAACGGCTTCAGACTTCTTTTTATGGGGATTTCCAAAGATAAGGTTTATGTCAACAAGCTCAACACTGTAGAGCAGCTGAAGAACAATATACGAGAAGTGATTCAAAATATTCCTTTCGAAACCTATCAAAAAGGGATGGAAAATGTCATTGTGTGGCCTCCAGAGGTGGACATTTGTCTGATATTATTTTTCATACATAATTTCTAACTTTCAATTAAAGATTAAGATGGAAAAAATGGACGTATTTTATTTAGTTTTGATAATATTAAAAAGACAAACCAATCAGTTATATATTGGCTACGCGTTATGATACAAGTGTTACAAGTTTGTTTTTTGAGAAGATCTTAGATTAGCAAAGCGATTTGGAAAACAAAGGGAAATTGGTTACACCGGAAATCAACTTACTAGTTGTTAGAGAAGTGATGAAACGTGAAAAAATAAGGAAATAAACAGTTGCTTACCAATGTAAGATGGCCCTCCTCCAGCATTGTATCCCGCCCTCCATCTTCTCCTTGCTAGTACTGCCCTCCAGGGAAGTTTCGAATGCAATGCTCCTTCCATCATCCAGTCATCAGGACCTATATGAACCAAATCCAATTGGGTAAAATGTCGAGAAAAATCATCAAACGACATCCTGAAAACAACAAGAAGATAACACAATACAATTTTAAAGGAAATTAAAAACACCGTCAGAGATCATACTAAAGTAACAGAAAGAATGTTTTAAAAAACAAAATACAAATTCAAAAACACCAGTTCACAACATTCTTTCAACATATGTATATGTTCATGTTACGTTCGACATACTTTTCAAAATACTTTCAACATATGTATATGTTTATGTTAGTTCAACATACTTTTCAAAATACTTTTAACATACTTTCAACATATTTTCAACATACTTTCAATATACTTTCAACATACTTTCCACATACTTTTAAAACACTTTCACCATACTTTCAATTTGCTTTCAACATAATTTCGACATACGTTTAATATAACTTCCACATACTTTCTTTTACAAGCCTGATGAAGATTACTGACCGTAACTTATTAAGTTTGTTTGTTTTTTTCTTTATAGTAATACCACATTGGAGATATGGATAATCTTATTCTTAATAAAATTGAATTCATATTGGCATTAATTTTAACAGGGTCCTAATTGTATATTTACCAGAATTCGCCTTCGTTGGTTACTCTAACGCTTAATAGTTCTTTATCTCTATTTGATAGTCCGTCCCACTCCCAAGATCGTTCGCTCCATGGACCTGTCCACTCTCCTTTCGCCCACGGATTCCGAAGCCTGACTAATGGTACTTCTCCGTTTACACCTCTGACTCTGGCTAGGCCGGTAACACTGTATGCGTGTTGCGTTATTAGACCATTGCGCAACCTCAACTGTCGTTTACCATCTTTTTCCTAAGGGAAAATAAGTGTAGTTATAAAGTAAAATGGTTGTTCCAGAATATAAATGAAGGGCAGACAAAAAATTGTAGTTGTATATGATTCACAAAAGATAAATCAATTCTTAAACTTGATTAGTAGCGATGTGCGTAATAGAAATCTAGCAAGATAGATTTACCACATATTTCTGTACAATTTTTTGATTGGAAGTAATAGAAATTAATGGTTAGTCATTTTTTACCAAACACAATCTTATAATTTAGTCAAAATTAGAAACACATTTACGTGTTTTATGTAACTTGTTCATGTTGCTGGTCCTCACTCTGCTCGTCCCGCGTATATTCACTCGTTACATAAAATAACTGGTTGCATAAATATATATTTTAAAACATGATGAAAGCAAAAAATAAAGCACATATGTCTTGGTAAATCATTTATTTTATGGTTAGAGATTAGTCTGTCTAATTTAGACATAGGCTCTTTTTTCTTGTTGTAATAATACACATGCATACACTGAAGTAAAATGTATGAGAAAGATACAAGTGTGTCAAATATTATTGCAGGTGGCAGGTATACTCCAAAATTTGTGAAATGGAGTATAATGATATATCATCAAAAAGTTACACTCAAATGATGATGGCTTCTGACTTTAGTTAAGTGGTTATTGTTATTATTAATATTATAATTTAAATATGAATGGAGATTCGCTTGGATTAGTTATGAAAAATGTAAATAAATACGCTTACTTGTGTAATTGTTGCAATAAGAAGACTAGATCTAGGTACAGCACTGTTCAGTACTTGAAAGGTTAAAAATCTATCCTGATGTGACAATCCAAAACTTTGTACTATCCCTCCGGTGAGATCCTGTAGAGCTCTTGTTGTCGAACCCTGCAGAAGTTGTTCATAAGATCCATAAAATCTAGTAACAAAACGAATATTTCACGAGAACATTATTTAATAATTCCTCTAAAATATGTTTCGTATTAATTTGACTAGAATCTATCTTTTAAAGTAATAATATTTTTGAAACTTCCTATATAAAATCTCAAAATCATTCCTACGAAATATTGAAATTATTTATGAACCCCAAAAAGATGAAAAGAATGAAAAAAAAATCTATTCTGGGCGGGATTTTTGGCTCTACAGACCCTATCGTTCATTCCATCGTGTTTCACGTTGGAGCATGTTGCAGCTTTTCCTATTCATGTCCATCTGTAACAACCTTGATTCACAAAAATTGGAAATACGGTTTTTGTTTTCCATTTTTTAAATTCACTTTTAAATTGCTTATCCAACAATTTATTGAAAATTGTAATCAATCAATCAAGAAACTCCGTTTTTTTTTATAATTTTAATTACTCAATTTTCTCATACTTTTCTACTTACTTGGCGTATGCTTTTTCCAAAAGTGCTGCCCAAAATTCGGAATTATTTGAACAGTGTAAATGAACCAGTCGTCCTTTGTATGTTGGAAGTTTATCGTCGACAATGACATCTTTCCATTCCCCAAAAAACCAAAAACGAAACCTGTAATTAAAAAAATAAAATATACTGCTCCATATTTATTATAATATAGTAAATTGTTTAATTTCAGGTTATCATACCTCTCATGTTTATTAATAAATAGTATTTTGTGCAACAATCCACTAACGAAAATCAACAAATTTAAAAAATAATTTAGGTTATTGAGACAAAATAACTAATTTTAAAATAATTTATGAATTTAGGTAATTTTTAAAATAAAATAAACATGAAAAAAAAAAGATTTAATTTTAGTCCCCCAGTTCAGATTTTCACGTGGAAGGCAGACACTCTGTTCTCGCCTCCACCGCCACTTTTAATGGGATTTTAATTTTAATACTAGTAATTAAATTAGTTTCATATAGTTCGATTAAAATTATTATTTTTTTTTTCAAAATGTGGACCACATAAAAATGCTATTATTTATCGATTCTACACAAAAATAACTCATTTTAATGTATATTTAATATCAATAAAATTTTAAAGGTAGTTGTGTGTCCAAAATACGAACTGTGATCGGAGTGATACCTTCAGACCTAAAGCAAGGGCGGCTCCAAGACGAATTTATGGAGGGGGGGGGCATTGCCTTTAGCCATTCCCTTTTTAGCATAAAAGACTCATACATCGTAAGAATTTTCATCTCGGGAGGCATGGCCCCCATAGCCCCCCCCCCTGGAGCCGCCCTTGACCTAAAGTGAATAACAAAAACAAATAAACGGCATTGGCATGAGAAAAAACGATATGGTACCAATGTTGCCAGTCATCATCGCTTGTCTTAAACTTAAAATATGCAGGATGATATATTTTTAACTGTATAGAAGTCGTTAAGACAAACAACGTTTTCACAAAACTCAAAAAACTATTTTTTATTTGTCCGTTTAAATAACGACCAGATTTTACAATGAATGATTTTTCTTAAGAAAAAGCCTGCATGTGCAACATTTCTATAATTATTCAAGTTAATCAAAAGTTCTTAAATTACATACATTTGGACAGAAGGAGATAAATAAATGAAATATATCCACCTAAAAATAGAAAGCAGCCATAAGACGAAAAATGAACAATCTGAACTTATCGTATACTCATGGTAAAAGTCGATTTCCCAAGATAGATACTTGAATTTATTTTTCATCAAAATGCCCCTACATACTTTTTATTAAATTGAAGTGTACGAAAGGATCCCGTTTTAAAAAGGTAAATTGAAAAAGGGAGGATGATAGTCTAATTTCACCGAAAATCATGTAGGTACCCTGAAGAGATTTACTAAACGAGCTAAATCTAATTTTCGGTAATTGCCCAATTTCGAAACCATTAATTCCCGGTGAATAATAGGGTTTAGGAAAAGCCGTCATTGAAAAGACAGTTTAAAGTTAATTTTTTTAGTGTAAGTAACAACTTCTATCGTTTGGGGTGCTTCCATTGCCAGTCATAAAAAATACGTTTTTTGAAGATTACTATTTGATCCGTGTGCGTGACAGCAGCGCCAATTCATTTATGTACCAATGGACTATTTTTGCGTATACTGACAATACAATTTTAAATAGAATTCGTAATTAAAAAGTATATTATATTGTATAATTTATTATATCAGATTTGCAACTTTTTAAAAAGTCCGGAACATGAAACCGATGACATAACTTATTTTATTCTAATTTTGTCAAAAAAAATGCAAAAGTTTTGAAAATTGGTTGCAAACGTTAATATTTTTTTTTAACAATCTGGTAATTCTTATTTTAGTATTATTGTTATTATTATTCTGAAATCTGCTGTTTTAATTTTTTCTATTTTAGTTTTGTCTTTGTTGTTTATATAGATTATCTAAATATTTACACGGTGGTTTATAAATTATTATTTTTTTTTTATTTTTATATAAATTGTATTGTTCTTTGAGTTAAATATTATTGGAATATTTTTGTGTTTTTGTATATATTTTATTTTTTGCTCGGTAGAATTTAGCAATATTTGCGTAACCCCTGATTTTCTAAATTAATTTTTTAACACATTTTTTTCGTTTCGTTTTGTCACAAAAACAAGTCTCGTCTTTGAAAGACCTGAATTCAAATTTTGTTATAAAACTATTTTTGGATTATATACACTTCCTCACCTCAATATTTTGTTTATATATGTTTTCACTATTAATTATCCATATAGTACGTAACTGAAGAATTCTCGACTCAAAGTATGATGATTTAATTTAAAACACTTAGATAAAAATATTCCTCTTAAGCGAGATATAGTTACAATATGGACAGGTGTGTAATACATAAAATAAACAAATTGAAGAGCGAATAATCGAAGATAAATTAGATACAAGAAGTTCATCATCTTCTCTGATATGCTTCTTTCTCACGGTCGATTTTTTACCAGTTGATGGTATTTATTGAATGACTTGGCGCTTTTACATAATTTTTTTTAGAGGCTCACAATTACGTTATAAACGTTGTGCTAAATGTGTAAGAAGATCAGGTTGAACAAATGTATTTATTTTAAATCATATGGCGTTTTAATCAGAGGATCAAGGACAAACCGAACGTCTTGAATTTTCTAATTCCTTCTGGGACATTATTTTTAGTCCGATTTGTGCGAAATTTTCAGGAAATATCAATTATAACAGAACTTAGGGTGGAGAAACGTTTTTTTGTACACCTTCGAAAAGTATTTCGTTAATTTTTAAAGAGAAAATAGTTATTTTTGTATTAAGGGCGTAAAATGGCACATGAGAGTGTTAATTTTTGGTCGAGACCGCAGGACGAGGCTAAAAATTCTCTCGAATGTGCCATGAAACCACGAATTTTATACACGACATACAAACAACATTTTTTGTACCACTGTCAATTATCTAACGTTCCTGATCAGCAGCAACATGGAACATCTTCGGGAATTTATGTTGGAAGTAATTGTTTAAACTTTACTATCAATTATTATTCCAATAAATGAAATTGCTTTATGATGAATAATTGACTCTGTTAAAAATAAATCCTTCAAAAAGTAATATTTCATGTTTATTTTGGCAGTGAAAAAAGTAAACATGCACGCATCAATAGAGATGCAAAAATGTCAAGTTTTTTGTACAAAAAATATTTACTCGCCATTCTGAATGAAATCTATGAAAATTTGCTGCTTTTTGTTTTAATAAATATCTAGTAGTTTTTAAATGAGAGGGTTTTCCACCTTTTTTCTTAAATGTCTCGGTAGAGTGCTGCCTTATCGTTGCACAAATTAAAAGCCTTCAATACATCGCAAAATATTCCCAGTGGTGCGCTTATAAATACAATTTTACATTAGAAAATCTATACAATACTTTGGGTTTTCGTGAGAGGCCCGGTTTCCTCTTATGTACATTTTATAGAACTTTATTTAACAAAAAAAAAAAAAAACAATAAAAAAGAGAATATACAATTTTTCGACTACACACAACATAAACAATTTTGGACATCCGCGATTTTATAATTTTTAAACATAATAAGAAATAAAAATAAAGGAAATGCGAAAGATCACAAAAACGTCGAGTAACCGTTTCCTTCCTGAAAACTACTACTCATTTAGCTAATACCGCAACAAGCGTTGAAATATATCAAAAAGAAAAGAGCAGAGAAACAAATTATCTGCAACACTCTAATTTTGAGTACAGATGGGCGTTATTTTGTGACTGCTGATCCTCATAAAACTACCGGCCTAGGGTTTCCAACACCATCATTTGACAAGCATTGTGTCCCAAAGAGTACATACATAGTACATAAATAGTACATAAATGGTACACAAATATTACACAAATAGTACAAAAATAGTACATAAATAGTACACAAATAGTACACAAATAGTACACAAATAGTACACAAATAGTACACAAAATACGTGGAATGCCACCTGCATTTCTGAGCTCTGAAAATATGGTGCAATTCTTTTCCATATTTTTGGATAATATTCACCATTTAATGGAAAAAAAAAAAACAAATGAAGATCTGGAAAAAAAGGTGTTTTTTTTTGGTGTATTCTTTAACAAAATATTTTTCTCTTGGCAATCCTGCATCGGCTATGAGTGGCGACGAAGTTTAAAGCATCTACAGATCCCATTAGTAGTGTAATCGAGAATATCTATTTCGTGCTGATGAATCATATAAATAATATTTTTATAATTTTGTCTCATAACTTAAAATAGAAAAAAATGTGTAAATAATAATAAACACATGTATAATTTATTATTATAACGAATTGTTATTTTGTTGAACAACACATCCACACAAAAAATATCACGGCTAACTGTCTATCCCGTCAAATAAAAGTGAATGCATTGCGCCATTTCCGATTGTTATATTCAACTATTTTCAACCTTATTTATAGTACTTCATCGATCATCATTCAAATAACCATCTAATTGGCAGTAATGAACTACTTGGAAAAATCGTTATGGGTAACTAATATTAGTATTCACTTTAATGGCAACGTTAGGTATTATTTTAACGCCTACTTGGTAAAATACAATGAGCCCACAACTATTTAATATCTATATGGATGAACCCGTACCAATACACCCACCTAACAGACCGTTCTAATCATTTACCTCCGAGTACCTCTTTTTAACGAGCAACGTTTTTTTTCTAGGTATATGGAGAGCCTTAAGAAATTATAAGAATCATTTTTACGGGGTGGTGCATTAAGAAAGGGAGGGGATAGTATATAAACCCTTCGTCAATGGTATTTAATTGGTTTTCGAGGTACGTGCTATCTAAAGTATTTCCAGGATGTTTAAAAACTATGTAAGAGTGAACATTTGTTAAGGAAAAAAATCACTAAATCCACACAATATATATTTTAATTATATTCCCTCATGTAGATATAATATGGAGTGATTTCCAAAAAAATTCTCTATGTAGTGAGATGACAATTTTTTTTTAAACTGAAATCAGGACAATATGAATTTTAATTAAATCTAAGTAAATAAAAAAACTTAGATATCAAAAAATGTTGCGTTTATTTAAACAAGAAATACGAAAAATTAAAATATC